AATCAAATTAAAACTGTTTTTAATTAACTACTCATTTCCCCGATATCGGAAAAATATACGACCGATGTCAGACTTCAAGTTTTTTAAGAGCTCATCTTCTGGGATAAGGTCCATCTTAATTGGACGGATTGTTCTGTTACTCATTTAAATGTCAATCCTTAATTATACTTATGCAGTTCGTCGGAATAAAATCTCCAAATTCGGCATCCCAATTACCATCCATTGTTAATTCCAATTCGCAAGTCAAACGGCGAGATCATCGATATCACCCTGTAAGTACTTCATGTATATTAGCATGAATTCCAATCCTGTACCCCCAAGCGCCGCTTGACCGCCACGAGCCCACCAACCGCCTCGTTCATCTACTAAAGTGAATGGTAATTGTTCTCGAACGATATTCTTAGCATCTCGCCCGAGTACTTCCAACATAACGTTGGTGCTAATGTAGCGCCTTTTAATGAGAACACATGCTGGTCAAGAACCTTGGCCAGGTCATTTTGTACCATATCCGCCTGGTTAGCCGACTACCTAGAGTCCAGAGAGTTTTTTTGTATCTGTCATCGCTACTTTGGGTTGCCTTTCCGCAGGTCTGCTCTTCTTTGTCGGCGGTTGGGTCCGTGTTGAGTCAACCGACCTCTGCCTCGTTTTCTTTTCGCCTATCCGTTTGACCGTCTGACCCTAGGTCTGACCGGAGGCCTGCATCTGGGTCAGTGAAGGTTGGGTGGTGGATGGTTTGGAAGTGACTGTTGAAGCAGTTTGACCCATTTGGTATAGTTAGCCTTCTTGATCCTCTTCCTCTTGCGTAGTTTGGTGTGTTGTTGAGGTTCGGGGTATCCTGGGCCCCTTCGTCTGGTTGATTGTGAGTCTAAATTCGTCCCTCTAGCTCCCCACCCACCACGGGCCGTACAAAGGGGACGTCTATCCAGAACCAGAAGAATATAGCTAAGCGAAATTCCGGTCACAGTAGTGTGTTGTCGCCACTTCAGGTAAACTGAACTACCAGGATAGGGTGCTATCTTAGTGTGGATTTTCACTTGGGGCCGTCATACGCCGGGTCGGGCCTGGCATTACACGCCCCCATGATCACTAAACTACTCAAGCCCCAGAACCACGACAAGACCCGAAACTGAAGGAGAAGAATTAAACAATTTGGTTGAAAAGACGTCTAGTACTAGGAGGCGCCAGTAGTACTGTTGGAAACAACAACATTGGAGCATGGAGAAAATCATAGAAACCGAAACGAAAGGGAATGATAGAACTCGTGATGTTTGCAGACGATATCGACTTTTCGAATTTGGGAAAAATTCCAAAATATAGTAATAAAAAGCGCTAAAGACATTGGTTAAACCATTGTAAACAACAAAAATAGAAAACAAACTAGATGATCCAATGAGGAAGATAAGTACAAGTACAACAAAGGAGATATGCAAAAGAAACAAACATGGTTGACATGCGGCAGAGAAATGGAAGACAAACTAAAAACTATTTTATAGAGTGTTAAAGACATTAAGGAAAGGAAAACTAGTAGAGACGTGACCAGACCACTCGCGACCGATGAAAATGCATTATCTTCGCACAGAGTCAGTAATAACTCGGGAAGGAAGTGACTAATCCAAAAAATCGTTGGTCATTCTGGTCTGTGCTACACCGTATCAGAGAGAAACCACAACGAAAAAGCGTAAACTGAGGACTAGTAGTGGTACAGATGATGGACAGACCGACGGGCAGACAGAGTGCGTACAATAGCATTCGTTTTCCTTTTGGGAACTGCGCTAAAAACGGCATACATAACTGCATAAACTTTTTGAAAATGTTAATCCCATGGAATTCTTACATGTCATTTTACATGAATGGAACTGTTAGGCTCACTGTTTAGATTTTAAGTTCTGCAAAATTTACAGGAAAATAAGAAAGTACAACCATACTGAAATGAGGAAATTTATACCTTCCTAGAAAGCTTAAAATCTAAATAAAAGCTTGGACGTTGGATGGTTAGGGCTGTGACGATTTATGATTCCAGAGGAAAACCAAAATATCTAATCCTTCTCCCTTTTTTTCCTCCTTTATCAGTAAAAATAAAGATTGTCGATAAGCACCCCATCGGGAAACGACAGCATCATTAATTCAGTTTTTTTAGTATCCTCACAATCACACTTGGATGTAAATATAATTAACTTCGAGTTTATATTCATTCCTTTTCCTGAAAAGTTTTGTTAGATAATGTCAACTAAGCTAATAAAACTCGCAAACTTTTAACGGCGAAAATACTAAAAATAGCTAGCCGTATATTAAATTTACTGCTTGTTTAAGAGAGGATTTAATTAGCAAAATATATGCAACTTGGGTAAATAATAAATTCATTAGGTTCATTTTGGCGCTATTCATTGCGAATTTATCTCCGTACAATTATAAGTTAAAATTAACGAAGAGGGCACGTTCGCAATCAAAAATTGTTAATAAACGGTCATCGCTTCTATGAGATTCGGCCAAAGAATCATAAATTTCATAACAAATACAATTTCGCATTCTAGAAATAAAGTACGGATAATATGCAATCCTGACAGCAAACCAAGTGGACAGTGGTTTTGTTATAACGAAAATAGGTCGCATTATTGCGTTGGTCGGCGGTTACGGATTAAGATATTAGACTTGAGGAATATGGATCGGTAAACTGATCCTGTAATGGCTTGAACCGGGAGCCAGTCGAGGATTACGAAACATTGAGTAAAAGAGAGCGAGAGAAATGAATACGACAAGGAACAAAGAAGGAATCGAGAGTTATGGCATACCAATCCCTATAGATCCTCTGACGAGCCACCAGAATAAATGCCTAACACTTTTAATGTCCATATTTTATCTCTTTAACATACAGTTTGTGCCCAAACATAAATGTATTGAATTTCAGTGCATTTATGTATTTTGTCGTAGGTTTTCGTTTTCAAAGGTCTCAGGGATCGATCAGCCTTCTGGTGTTATTTATTTTTTTTTAAGAATTGCGGAAGGAATCCATCGTAAATGCTTCTGGGCGTCACGTGATCCATAAGACACAATACCTATAACCTACGGGCCCAAGTGCCAAAAGTACATTAATATTTATACATATACTCGTACATAATACACTATGAATTAAATTCATTTGATGTTGGTACCAAAGATATGGACTTATACTTACTGCAGCAAGTTCCAGTTCAGGAGATGGGTTTTGTTTCTTAACTTTTCATCCTTTAGCTATTTTTTTTCTTTTCCTAAACACTCTCCGGGTCACACAAAGGGTTCCAATAAACACACAATTAATGATTGACAAACACAAAAATTTATTCCGAGACACATTAAATGAAAAATTAATCCCAAATTCCTGGCAGAGAAGTTTACAAAGATTGTTTTTACATAGTACCCCTTACACGACGATCGATAAAAGAAATAAGAAAATCTTAAAATTACTTACAGTTTTCTTTCTCTTTTAACAGTCCCAATAATCGGGTCGTTCAATGATTTCACTTTTCTTCAACACACAAACTTGATGAACTGGCTTGTTGAACACGATGACATCAATTATCAGTGGCTGTGCGAATGGTATAAACATTAATCAAATCAAATACACCGCTCGAATAAAAAATATCGTAAAGAAACTACGCTTTCCAACCATCGCGGACGAGCACAAGCCTGCCACTCCCAACGAAACATCACTTTCATAATGCAATAAACCCTCTTCTTCCAGTATTTACAAATAAAGCACCAATCATAATCACCCTTGATAACAGGCACATTAATTAAATCTCGCCCCTTATCGCAAACGACCAGATGTATCTACATTTTAATACGGAATTTCACTTTTTACACAATGCTACATACAAGAAACCACAGAAAATACAACTTCAGGTAAAATACACCAATTCTGTGCTTATTCGTTTGCTTATCTGGGTGTAGTAAATTAAAAAATTCATATGCAGGGTGTCCCGTCATTATTTTAGGTGTTTAAACGTAAATATCGTCTGCATGACGTTCACACAATATTTTTTAGGTTTAATTGAATCATTATTTTAAATTACGCGTTAGTTTCACCTCTATCAACTGCCTGCCTTGTTCTACTTTCCTTTTCTTCAGCTTTCCCTCACGCACTCTTAAACCCTCATACTGTTTTTGATTCATTTTCGGTATTAGTCGCTCTAAAATATGTTATATTTCTTTAGTTGGTAGAAATTAGTGTTGCAGCTCTGAATAAAAGTGAGAATTTTGATTTTTGACTTTTAAAATGTATTACGCATTTTACCACTCTGAACGCAATTCAAAAGGCATGATTTTATTCTTTGCCATCCAGTCGATAAAGAGTTAGTCACCGGTAATAAGGAATGTGACGTGTACTTTCCAGGAAGTGTGTAATGCTGACTCTAGAAATCTCTAGAAGCTTATCGTGTGCTATATAAAAGCAAATTGAATTTTGTTTAACAGTTAATAGTTCCAATATCGATGCCAAAGTGATAAATTCGCGCTCGTGTTAAAAATTTACATATTAAAAATCAATCTATTTAAGTGCCGTTATAAATTCATTAATCATTAATTGTGTATAAATACTTCACGTACATAATACATTATTTACCCCAAGGGAGTTCATGAACTAACTCTAAAATACTATTAATGTTCTATCAATCGGCTATTTAAAAAATTAGATTGTCGTTATTTCTCTTAATATAAAAAAATGAACTCCTCATCGTAACATCACGGTTTACAAGGCGGCCAACCATCATGGCCAAATTTTAAAATTACAATACGGACAATTTTGACTATTATAACTTTTTGCCATACGCAACTTTAGAACCAGATTTTAAGAGCAACAATGTAAAACACATTTTCATCTTACGAAGCGCAACGTTTCTTTACATACAACAGAGGAAAAACTGAGAAATACCGGTTCTTTGACACTAATAATAACGGTACTGGTATCGGTTCCGGTTGTCAAAACTTCTTAAATAACGGTTCCTGTTCAAGTGAGGGGATTATCAATGCAATCGGTTCCGGTTCCGATACTGGTTCTTACCGGTACCGGTCCCAACCGTTGCAGAATAAAGGTAGGAGCTTCTTTACATCTGAAAAAACAAAGCTTTCCAATGCATTTTGCCCTCTATTGATGGACAGTTCACATGCATTTATAGGTTTTGGAATATATTGTGATTTGTGATCTACAATTAATACATTTCCCGTGCATTTGGATTGCATGAATAGCTCTAGAGAATTATCTCAATAAAACTATATTATTTCTTTCCTTTTATAAATTTCTTAGCCTGTTGTTCCTCAACCGACACTGACAATGTTGATTTACCCTATACTTTTACAATTGGCAACTCTCGGGAAAAACTACGAGCACGTTTAAATCTCGGTAGTAGTCGACCCGATATGGATGGTACAAATGAACTCATACGTTGTGTAATGTTGGGACATAAGACATAATCGGGAAGAGAATTAAATAAAATGCAGAATGTGCGTAAGAAAAGACAAGGACAAATAAATATATTACTCCCACAACAAGGCGATACCAGGGAAACCTTCTACGGGACAAAAACCCTGGACACTCCACACAAATACACGAAATAAATAAAAGCAACCCCTTTTTACTAACAATGGCCAATTCACTTTAAATAAAGAAAAACGAACGGTGATAAGCCTTTCTCGATAAACGTAAAAGGATTACATAAACTAAAATTATACGTGATATCACAGCAACATGAATAATTAAATAATGTTAAAACATTACAGTTTATTAAATATAAATAAAATTTTGAGTACATGCACATATTGTGTTGATCATAATATCTTTATGTTCTAAGCGAGCTCGAGCTTAATAAACTTACCTACCTAATATACCTACTTTCGTAAGGGTCGTAATAGTAAAATGGTACTCCTATTTATACGAATTTAACTAAATTGCTAATTCCATAGTTTTAACATTAGACGACTATTGGAAAACACATTTAAAGTTTAGTATCTACCCTTTTTCTTATTTAGTAATCTTAGTCGTATTTTCTTTCTCATTTTCTACCAGTCAGCAATCTGTTCAATAAAATTTCGTATGGAAAAGGAGATCCTGTAGATCAAATGAAACCAAATGAGAGCTCTATTTAAATTTGTCTTTGGATTAACGCAGACATTTCTGAGGAAAGTTGATTAAGCGGATGCGACGACTACGGCGAAGTAATCGGTCAAATACAACTTAATTCGTAGACGTTTTTGTAACTCGGGGGATTATTTTTAATCGAAAGAAATTCATTATCAAGTCGTCATCAATCTTCTGCACTTACCGATTAATGCGGCATCGCGTTTACCACCACGCATTAATGTATGAGTGAGCGGGTCCTTTATGCTCCGCACACTGTTTCTGTAATCATCCAAAGTGTTAGACAGGTTGATCTGAAAATTCTCTGGGTTAATATATTCAAGTCTAGCTCTATTCGCGATCCTATTGAACTAAAGTTCATGAATTATTCATATTCCGAAATTGTCTATTCACATAGAAATATATGAAACGGTTTTATGACGGCTACTTCGTATCGTACGAATACGTTTTATTTTTTATCTACTTATTACTTTGTTCACTAATTTAAGCACCTGTGGGGTCAGTTTCATTTAAGATATCACCCTTTACAAACAAACTGACCAATTGGAAGAGTGCACTTCTGAGACAATTCACTCCAGAGACACGTTCAGTTCCAGTTTGCTAACAAATTACCATTACTTTCAGAAGCAAAAGCGCGAGTTTTGGGCCCAGGAGATTTGCACGTCAAAGCGGGAAGTTCCGTAACACTGATATGCGTTATCAATCAAGGACCCCACGATTTGGGTACCGTCTTTTGGTATCTAGGCGCAAATATACTACAGACACCACCAACGCATCCTAATGATCCAGATTCGACTGAAAGGCTATCCATACAGGTAAGACTAGCCGAGTTTTATACCAAAGTTTGACACACTTCTCTTATTCAGAATCACTGGTCGGATGGACTGACCTCTCGTTTGCACATTTCAAGCGCACGTCTTTCAGATAGTGGAAACTATTCGTGTGTTCCAACCATTGCTGCCCCTGCTAGTGTAAATGTACATGTCATTAATGGTACGTATATATTTTCTTGTAATGAATGCATTCGTTTAATGGTGTGCTGGGATAGTGTGTTTCAGATTCGACCGTCACCATTAATATTTATAATTATAATTTATTTATACAACAGAATTTAATGGCATGTGTTTTTAGCAAACTCCAAAAACTTTTTCACCAGTATTTTTTCCTTGGCGAACAATAAAAATTCCAGAAAATTTAATCCTAATTGCCTCTTGTGCATTTTTCTTTAATAGATCTTCCGTTCAGGAAGATAGGAGATTTTTCCGGAAAATGTGGGTGAGGTTGACCTTAGCAAAAGATGCTTTATTAATAATTTCATTTCTTCAATTTCTTAAAATCCATAAAAGGTGGAGGTTTTTTGAAAATATCGTTTACCCTGCCCTTCCGAAAGTTAAACCTCAATCTCTTTTTGTGTTTTTTTCCTGTAATAGTTTTTCATCTCCACGAAGAAATTGGAATATTTGAAATAGTAAAAGTGGACGATTCTGGAAAATCTGGTGACATTGAATTGAACAAAGATGTTTTATACCACGATTTATTTTTAGTTTTCTTACGTTTAAGTTTTTTAATTGAACAATTTTTCAAAAGCCGTGTGGGAAGGAGCTTTTTAGAAAATTTCTTTAAGTTGACTTGCAACCAGCCAATTTTCATCTTCAGAACGGAATGAGAATTTTTCAAAGGCCATAAAATTGAGGGTTCGGAAGTCCGAAATTACATTCACGTGGTTCTCTCGCTTCACGTCTCCGTACCTCCAGGACTCCTAAGAAATGGATTAAGTAACTTGGTGGACGGTTTCCGCAGTTTTTTCTTTGGGGGGTTTAGGAAATTTTGTAAAGGGTGCCCCCCGCTTGACTCTATAGCGAGTGAGTCTTCGCCCAGGTAAGATTTAACCCCTAAAACCCGCATTTGAGTCAGCATGAGTATCGGGACTACGGAACCAGCCCACATGTCAAAAAGGTGACGTAGAGACAACTTGACACGAAAAACTGGGAAGAGGAGGTCAATGCTAACGGGTTAAACAAGGTGTTGCTTATCGACAGGAGTACCGACACAGACACCAAGCATAAATGGGGGCTGGTCACGAAAAAACATCGTGAACTTGGACGAGTTGCTTGCGGCAAAGGAGACTTTGAAAAGAAACAAGTTGTAAATCAGCATATGCATGATTAAAGCGCATTTTTGGTAATGCAGGTCAGTATTTTATTAGCGAAGTTTAAAAATTATCGATCTCACGAGTAATTTTGGCTGCGTTAAATAATTAATTTTATTTAATTTCAATTGACGGTACGTCTTCATTTTGTAAAACAAATCACAAAGTAAATAATAAGTTTTTATACTGGTAGCGCTATCTAACGGTAAAATTATAGCACCTCCGAAACCCATATCGAAATTATGTCCTTCAATTATCGATCTCACAAGTAATCTAACTCAAAATAGACCCGTGCCTGCACATCTACACTATAGCAGGAAGCTTTTAGTGAAAATTTGAGGTTTCAAAAATGCGCTAAAAAGAGGTCAGGTGAAGTGCCTCGGTGTTGGAAAGCGTTGTGCGAAGAGCTAGACAAGGACATCTGGGGAAACGCGTACAAGATAGTGGCGTGTAAGATTAGGGCAAGAACAGCGGTGGTGGGATGGAATAACGCAACTAAGAACCGAAGAGCTAGTGAAGGTTGAGAAAATAGTAGCTGCTGCCAACGAACTTCCGGTAAATTAAGCACCTAACCCGGATAACATCTCTGCAGTGGTGGTTAAAATCCTGGCTAGGACCCTCATTCCCAAGAAGGGCTAGACCCTCAGGCCCATCTGTTTGTTGGGCTTAGCCGGAAAAATTTTCGGAAAGATAATTGAATCAAGATTGGAATGGGCAACAGCTGGGATATTATCACCAAAACATTATGGATTTGTAAAGGGGCGATTAACGACCTATGCGCTTAGGCGCATAAGAAGTGAAGCAGGAAAACGGAGGGATGTGGAGGGCACGTGAGGCTTGTTTGGTGGCATCACTGGACGTGAAGAATTCCTTCAATGCGGCTTGCATTTTCCCTTTGTAGCTCCCTTCCTCCAATATTTTCAAGATATTCACAATCAAGTTTTGACATGGCCAGTAGATGTGAGGAGGACAATCGATTGTAGAAATTAGTTCCTTGTGTTGAGACCTTTTGTTGGAGTTCCATGAAAGATTAATTTTGGTAAGATCTTTAATTAGAATACCATGAAAAATAACTTCTCACCCACTGAAGGAGTCGAACAGAAAAGGGACAATGCCCCTAAAAGTAGTTCAAAGCGACAGAAGTGAGTCCAGACGAAGGCGCGGGCAAAAATGCGCTAAAAATAATAAATAAAATTGGACTCGGCAATTACCAATCTGGAGAAAGCCGTTAACCGGGTAAACCACTGGATTATCAATTGCAGGCTCAATCTTGTCCCTGAAAAGATGAGTGTAGCAATCTTGACGGGCAGAAGAAAATGGTCAGAGGTAAATGTGGTGGGTTACAGCAATTATGGCACAAGACTATAAAAGTACTAGGCGCTACAGTGGACACTAATCTAAATCAAAATGACCTGTGAAAAGGCCTGGAAATTGGTTTTTAATTGCGATCAACCGCATCCTGCCATACGTTGGAAACGCCAGAGGTTCAAAGAGGAGGGTGATGGCCACCGCTGTAGCATAGATGGTGAATTATGCGTCAGAAAACGTGGAGGGTAGTGCGGTCAAGTGGGGGAGTGTAGTTACAGATTGAAAGAGGTTACCCGCGTAGGTAATGGCAATCATTAGGATAACGAGCGCGTATAGGACTGTGGCGGACGAAGATATTTTCGTGATCGCGGGCGAAAGAGTTGGTTAAGGGTAAAGTGTCGTGTACGAAGCGGCTGAACCTCAATATAAAAGATTGAATTAAAGGTCAGCATAGAGAAATCAGTTATTATCTCACCCAATTCTTCTGCGGACACGGAGAACTGTCGGTATCTACAATGGATTGGAAAGAGTGGGGACGAGATGTGTTTGGATTGTGGCAACTTCGACGACAAGGGGCACCACCTGGTCTTCGAATGCGCCAGATTGACAAAAGATCGGATTCGAGTGGCGACTCAATGCGGTATCTCACCTCGGATTATTTTATTAAAACAATACGTGGCAGCGAGCGAGGATGGAAGTTAATATCACAACTATGTGTCATGATTTATTGAACCAGAGTTTTTTTTTTGTTAGTTTTACAGGTACTCATGCCTTCCAGCATATCCCCTATTATCTATAAGTCTTTCTTAATTTTTTATTACTTTTTATTGTTTTATTTTACAGGAGTTGGCCGTATCTAGGATTTTTATTGCCCTTAAAAAGGGTTACCTAGACTTCGTTGCCCGTCCCTAACCACTTGGAGGTCCCTGTAAAATTTATCCAATGGTCTTGTCTAAAATCTTCCCCAATTTTCTTTTTTGAATTTTGCTGCAATAACTTCCAAATATACTTCTAATGTTTTTATTTTGTAAAATTCTTTTTCTAACAGGCCAAATAATAATTCCTTTCGATTCCAACATATTTTTATAGTCTTCTCTCTCAATTCTAAACTCCTCGCACTCATATACCAAATGTTCCGCACTCTCTATTCCATTCTCACACACGCACATATTAGTTTCACTTTTTTTAATTTTATAAGAATAAGAATTAAAAAGTCCTCTATTTGTTATAATTTGAATAATACCCCTATTAATATTCCAAAATTTCCAATTTAATCTATTTATAATGTTAGGTATATATCGAAGGTAAAGAAGACACGAGAGCAGAAAAGACTGGCAATGTAATACACATTGGCTTACATCTAGGCGGCGAACATCCACCGCCGAGACCCTGCTTGTATAATCACATGCCAGGAGGACGGGGGTAAACCCTACCTGGACGAAGAGTCAGTTCGCATTCCCTTCTGGAGATGAGTATTTCCTGATCAAATCAAATGAGTACCTACCTATATCGCGTTTAAAGATCTCTCTGTATGAAGTACCTTTTTCCTTATCGTCCTCATCCTCGTCATAACTGGCCAGTGGTCTTTTAAAGGGCCTCTCCTGCATCCTCAAATTAACCATGTCCTTTAAAGCATTGCTGGTGTTTTTCGAGTTCTTTATAAAGCCAAGTGCTCCGTCGATCGCCATCCTGACTTCCGAGGATAATATACTTCCTCAGTCTGCAGTTTACGAAAGCCCCCAGGCAGCCCATGGTGGCTTTCGGAGACACACGGAGACGGAAACGGATATCATCGCGAAGAAAACTAATTTTTCTTGTGATTCTATAACGAACTGGCAAAAGCTTTGCAACAACTGCCCCCACCCCTTTTCCCATTGATTTCAACGTTTTTGTAATAAGTACCTTAACTCCAATGATCTACGTCCTACAATTTTTTCGTTACGTTTTAACTTAATTTAAAACTACCCTTACACGAGTTTTAAAATAAAAATAGGAATCCTATCCCTAACCCTCTTTTAGTAGACATTTTTCTACTCGTCGCATCTATCGCATCGACCTTTTGTGCTTTTTGTAATATCAGTATGCATACTTTCGTTAAGTATATAGGTCACAGATCTTTTTAAAGTTTTCTCGTTGAAGTGGTTTGTTTAAAACACATTATGTCCATAATTTTAAACCAGCGGCCATCTTATTGAACGGCCTCCTTACATTTGATTAGTTCAAAAGAAATTAATCTGTGAGCCAAAAAAGGAAGCTCTTGTTAAATATTATCTACTTATGTAGTACCGACATTCAATGGAATATAAATCTCATTAGGCCAATGATAAACTTTTCTGGTAGCAGGTAGTGTTCATGTGGGAAACTTGTAAAGTATTTTGATTATGAAATGGTTTCACGGATAATGAATTAAAAATGATTGAGCTGCTTGGGAGCATCCCTCTTTTCTCCGCTTTGTCCTCTTCATTGTATTACTCTGATGGACCAAACACAGCATCCGAAATTTGAACATATTGAAGTGTACTGTTCCAATACAATAATAATCATAAATTAGGTATGATTTATTAGACCAGAATATAAGAATTTTTGAACAATAGAAATCCTGCATAATGTAAATGCTACGAAAGAATTCCGTATTCCACACTGCGCCTTTGTTATGTTAATCTGCGTGGTGGTATACGACGTATTTACTATACTTATTTTTATTGTGAATACCTAAGTAATTATGTATTATTAAGGAGCCATCTATTGTTACAGGAGAGCATCCAGCGGCCATGCAACACGGAAATAAGAACACAGCGCCGTTATCGCCCTCTCTTCACTGCACACTTGTATATAGTATCTCAGTCTTCATAATAAAACACATCAGATGAAACCTCTTGTAATATTGACTTTTATTTTTTTAATCCTTTTCTCTTTAATATTTTGATACTAAATGTACTCGTGCGGAAATTTTACGTCCGTGCAATAAGTGAATTTGTCTTTGTGAATATCGAAGCAAAGAAAATGAGTTTTCATATTACGACCTATTGTACTAAGTGACACCTTTTTTTTTAAATAAGACAGTTCTGAAGGTGGATTTTAAACATTTATTATCTTCAAACGCACAGCTTTGCTTGTGTCACTCAAATCTTTCAAGATTGTATACTTTTAAGTTGAAATACTGAACATTCCTTTTGTCCTTAATTCCCAGTCTCCACTTCTTTGTTTAGAAAATGTTCATAGGGATTTTGTTGGATGTTGTGATTTACATTTAATTATAAATAAATATTTTCCTGTTACTTATTTATTATTATCTGTTGCCAAACACCAATTCCATTAGTATTTCTATATTGCTTTAATTTACCTCCACAGTTTACTTAAATCATATGTACCAAAGTAATATTTTTAGTTGTTAATCATTGAAAAGACCCTATTTGTATAGATACTCTTTAGTGCCAAGTTCGCAGTATTTTACCCATTGTTATAATGAATCTTTTACCAACATTTGAGATTCTCAGTGCCCACAAGTAAACATTTTCTGAGAGAGTCGGGCCTCTACCATAAGAACCCCTTTATTATCATTCTTTGCCCTTTTTTGAAAAAAAAATGTGACCTTTTGATGATCAACGTAATAGATTTAGAGAGTTTCCAACTGAACGTGGTCTAGAAAGGTGTCAGAAAACGAATTGAATGAAACAACGTGATTTAAATATGAAAGAAATCGATCTTCAGTGAAGAAGCTCTACGCACATTCAATAAAGCAAAACAAAACAATATTCTTTATGTTCGACTCGATCATAATACGCTGAGTTATGACACTGTTTAGCGTCCATAATCTGCTACTTTATTGGACTAGTCCATAATGATAAAGTAATTTGGACTCCTGTCACTGTCAATTTCTTCGGAAAATGCATTTTAAAATAACGATCTGTTTTAAAGAAGAAGTACACGGAACAGAAAGTTATAATTTTAAGAACACATATCTATATTATACATTTCAATAAATATACTAAATTAATGTTAATAACACAGTTGTTATTGTTGGTAATGTTAATTCCCGATGTACCCTTTTGATGCAATATTTCTGTGGTCTCTACGGCTTTTAAATTTATGAACGAAGAATTTGCCATAATGGTTTCCGTTTCCAAAATTTTGCTGGCAACACTAATTTTAGAATTGTCAGATTGGTCAATATAGCCTTTCGCAATAGTTGATGAACGCCATCCTCCAGTCGTTTTCCAGCATTTGCCAGAATACTGGCCGATGTACGACGAAAGCAATGACTCATGTACGCCGATCGATTTTCTAACTTTAAAAATTTGGCCACAATACTTGGTACACTTGCAATTTTGTGTACCTACCCCTATTTGTTGCACCGTTCAGTTCTCTTTCACGTAGTTCACGAAAAACCTGCGATAAGGTGTCTTTGGAGAACGAAGTGCCATGTATTTTCGAATTAAGTCTAACAAATCCAAATTTTTAAGGTTTCCGGGCACAATCATGAAAGATCGATCCGTCTTTGTTTTCATTTCCACAAGTTTGACTATAATGTGAATTATATGATCTTCAATATTCGTGGTTTCCAATGAAACTAATTCCTGTCGCCTGCATCCACCAGCTACTCCGAATATAAGAACTACTTAAAAATAGTAAATTATTATTCAGGGCATACCCTTAACAGACAGGTACCTTGTTTAACAAATGTTCTTTGTTACTAGCTTTCACTAAAAACGTATTCACATTTTCTCTGTCCAACGTCAAAGACTTCTTAGCTTTATGA